ATGCTTCCCAGTTACGGTATGTGTGTCAGGATGAACCATTGCCTTAATGTAAGCTCTTAATCCAGGCTGAATGAACTCTTTCTTTAGCAAATAAACCCAAATAATCAAACTGTAATCTTCACCCATGTGTTACGCCCTGTAGGTCCAAAATTTAATTCACAGAACGTTGACTGATGCTTGCTTCCGGTGAGTTGTCCTGGTAAGTTACGGGATTTTTCTTACCAAATTAATTCATCAGCATCAACGGCTTTACCTTCTTGTTGGCTGCTGCAAACCATCCTGTGAGCAAATGAGGTGACTTATTGCACCCGATGTACCTTATTGTTTCCATGCTGTCTCCTCGGGCATAACTTCCATCCTCATCATACATTGACAGGTATCTATTTTTATGTGTATAGAATCTGCAGTAGATTCCTACAAATTATCACTGGTAGCTTCTTCCTCGAAGTGGGACTTCGAGATATTTTTAACCTCACTCATCATATTTGTAAATACTTTCTGGTTTCAGATACGTCGAACCCACTGAAAGGTGAACACTTCATGCCTGTCAGCTGACCTTGCCCTCACTATCATATTGAGCTAAAGCTTTTTGGCAGCTTCCCATCCAGTACCAAATTTTACTTGAAAGAAAAGCTATCTAGGAGAAGTGTACCAGCTGTAAAGTTTGTTTATTCAGGAGCAAAGTTTTGGCTTCAAAACTCTGAAGTGTGAATTAAAAAATTAAAATTAGAATTACTGCTGCAGTGCACTATTGGTGCTGCAGCTTCGTGTCAGTTCCTGCAAAAGATTACGTCTCCTGTGATGTATTCCTCCTGCTTTTTCAGAGAAATCTTGGAGAATACAAGTACCATAACTACATATTTTTATAGAGCATGTTAAAGGAATTTCTGAGTCAAAATAATGATGTTTAAGACAAAAACCCCCCAGTTTTAACTATATATAAAAAACATTTTGTTTCTGATCCCTTACTGAGTGAATAACTTTCCTGCAAACACTTTCTGAAGAAAGAAAACTTGTGAGTGCTAGTTAATTTGTTCAGCTACTTTCTGTATCGATTTTGTTCCCACTCCCACTTTCTTTGAAATCTGAGGCACTTCTGTATACTACTTGCAGCCTGTTTCCAAGTCTGTTTCCTTCATATTTCCCTCTAAGGATGGTTTCTTCCGATGCCCAGCAGTTTTAGCTACACACTGTGTCTGCATCAACAGTGTCAATGCCTGGCCAAGACTTAATTTTCAGCTAGTTTATTTTTAAAAGGAAATGAAAGAACGTTCTAAAAAATATTTACCAGTGATAGATGTGAGATTGCACCACATATCACTGCAAGAGGGTCTGAGGTGGAACAAAGGAAGTCTGACATCTTAATAATACCTTTTGCCCAAAAATATACAGCTTTTTGGTTCCTACTGGCTGACACTTCAAGGGTTGAACCAGTGAAATAGTGGCCATGCTTAAAAAAAATGGACATACCGATGGAAATATGTGATTTCTTGTTCCAGTTTGCCAAAAGAGAGCATATGTAAGGGTGATCCAATGACATCTGTGCCTCTATTGGCATGTACAAATCTTGCAAGAACAGTTTAGTGTACCCAAAATGCCAATTAGGCAATATAATTTATCCCCTGTTGCTTCACGAAGGGGTTGGGGTGGGTGGGAGAAGTTGTAGCAGAGCTCTCTGTGGGCTTCTCCATGTTACGCGGTGTTCCTTTTTGTCTTGATTCCTTGGATTCTGTTGGGATGGTACATGGAGGTTCTAGGTATGGATTTAGGCTTTGTCACTTGGATGCTGTATGTGACTGGAAAGGAAAAGCGGCAACTTTCCCAAAGAACTCACAGTCTTTATTATGTGTCAAAGAAGGTTTGGAGTTGTTTTGGAGGCAGCGTCAGGATATCTGGAAATTGATTTCTTGGGCTGGTGCACAACACAAGGATGTCCTGTCACTTCCTTCCCGGAGAGCCAAGGCTGGCAGGGAAACCGGTTAGCTGGTTTCCGTGCAATATAATTGGTGTGATGTGATTATCCTGTTTATAGCCTTCCAGCATAAACATGGGCATTATATGGAATCAGTTCCATATGACACCTTGTAGGTTCACCCAGGTTGGTCCTCTTCTCCTGTAGCAGGATCAAGTTTACCTTGTCTGTCACTCTGATGCTTATCTGGGTATATAATCTCTCTCGCTTGAGCTAGCTCTCTTGGAGTTGCAGCAATTCTCCTAATATTTGTCTTTGTTTCTTTCCCTCTGGCCATTCAGTGTCACAGATCATCGTCCTATTTGTATTTACCATTTGGATGTTGCAGAACTTACTATTACCATGTTAGTTGACAGTCTTTGTTTTTGTCATCAAATTGGCAAACTCAGTTCTTTCAGCTCTTTCTCTTATGCCAGGCTAAATTAATACTCTTCAATCTGGAGATGCTGAATTTTAGTAGCTGTTCACAAAGCCTTTCATGGTGGAGGGAGGAAAAAGTGGAAGAGAACTGCAGCATGGAAGACACTGAGCATCCACTTGTTCCTGGCCAGGGCTGGGAGTGTATACCGAGAGATCTCAGTGCTAAACCTCATCACCTGCACTTAATGCTTAACACTGTGTATTTGGGATCTGGTCAAAAAATTTATCTAAGCATGTGTTGAATATATAAGCTATCTGACAAGTCCTGCAACATTACAGTTCTGAGGCATAATCTGTTATTCTTCATGCAGTGGCCTGGCTGTAATGGTTTGTTTTCAGATTCAAGTATCTCTGTCTCTATCCATGTCCTTGTCTTGGGCTACAGTGAGACTGAGGCCTCGTTGGTTGCTACCTGGGCTGTTGTAATGTGTGAATCGTCAGGCTGTGGGATTTGGGTTTTGCTGCTGTTAAGGGTGAACAACTTTGCGAAAGACTGGACTAACTTCTCAAGTTGGCTATAGGTCAGTTGTGTTCAGAGAGGGTCAGAGATCCCATCACAGCTCTGTCTAAATACAAGAATATAGGTCACAAGTTTAGAGCTGCTTTGATACTCTGAAAATATTGAGTGCCTGTCTTCTAAATCAGGATTCATAGCTAGTATGCACAACAAAGAGGTATCCCAGACCATAAACGAACTAATTCTTTAAAACACAAAATAGATTGGTAGTCCATAACTGACAGATACAGTTGCTGAAGAAACAGACACTCTCACTCTTACCTGCTTCTCTGGGACCATATGAGGAAGTAACTATGCGAAATTAATACTATATTTGTCAAATGTTACCAAACAGTGGAAGAATTGTAGAAAATACTGTGGGAGAGAGAGCTAAAGAAATTATTTTATCACTTCCTTTACCAATAAATTATGTACAGATACATTGCACATATTCTGCATTTTAAAATTGCAGCAGTAAGTCTAAAAATAACCTAATATTACTTTACAATAATTATAGATATCTACGTTTGTGATGTTAAAGTAATTTCTTCTCTACTGTGGACAGTAAGAAAGAAAATATGAAATGCATGCCGAAAAACTAGAAGATGTTTCATGTTCAGACAGTATCAAAAGACTTGAAAGATAAATCACACATAGCCTGATTACATAAATTGCTTTAAGCAACACCTGTTCATTGCCACATGGGCTACACCATAAGTTTAAAGAAAATGTGGAATGAGAACCAAGAGACAGGTAGAGAAAGGATACCATAATTGCTACTAAGGCACACTCTTCCTGTGGGTGATGAGGAAATACTAATACCAGTAGTTATTTTTTTGTATAATGCTTTTTAATCATGGGATAGCAAAGTAGATTACACAAAGGGAAATGGTTGTTATCACCATTGTATTGATGGGGAAGTGCAGGAAGAGAAGATAATTTAAATGGAAGAAATTGCCCAGAGTGACTTTGCAGCCTGGAGCAGAGCTGGGACTGGAGCCAGCATGCTGTGAGACCTTTTCAGCAGGTTCCCCTCTTGGTCAGGCTGTCTTTCACAATGTATCCCATGGTACCAGCCTGCCTGTTGCTACACCCAGATCTGACCAGTTACTGTGATTACAAAAGAAATTCTTAGAGCCGGTGACATTATACACAGGTGTAGTTGTCCAGCAGACAAAAGAAAGGTGCGTTGTCTAAAAGTGTGCAGGACTGAAGGACAGCAGCTTTGCTCCAAATGAGAGGGCTGGAAAGCATGAAAGACAATGTGGAGAGCACGAGTCCCACTACTTTTCACTGCATTTGCAGTTTATTAGGTTCATGAGACACAACTCTCTCATGCACTTAGGAGCTGATGTCCAGCACTGCTCCCTGCTGAAAAAAAGACCCACCATCACCTTAGTAGTGTCAGAGAGCATTTGAACCACGAAATACACTGCATACATCAAGTTAACACACAAAAGGGAAGTTAGTTGCACAGACATACAAGGTGCAGAATTTAAATGGGTAATATAACAGTGCATTGCCATTTTTGTGTATTTTTTGATGGTGGAGGGATGCGATCCTGTGTTGGGCAGGACAGTCAGCTCATTGCCTAGACTAGGCTTCAGCTCTGTGTGGGAAGATCCTTTGTACCCAGTCCCCCTTTAGCTCTTCTGTTCCCCTCTCGAGAGAAAAGGACAGAGTTAGACCCCTGTGTCCTACTTTGAATGGACAGAGAGTTAATGAGTATTTAATAGTCCTGGTCTAAAGAGTTGAGTAAGTATTTTACCCTTTCAAAAGTTTCTCCTTCTTTCTTCTCCATTGCAGAAATCTCTTCATTTGCAACAAACAGGGGATCGTACCAATAATGTATTTTGTTAAGTAAAACTAGCTCTGTGTATTTTTTTCTTACCAGTTGTCTTTATTGCAGTAGCTTCTCTGATTCTGCTGTAATGACCAGAGCTCTCACCTGCAGGAGGGAACAAATAGTAGTGAGTGCTCTTAAGTAACAACCTTTAAGAAAATAGAAAAAAACCCCCCTTTTTTCAGCTTGCTGTTCACACGATGCTGTAAGAATATGTTCTAAGATATTTATAGTAATTTGTTAGTTACCATTTATCTTTCCAAACACAGTTAGTCAAACTGATTGCTATGTAAGCCTGTCCTTGCCTACTGCTTCCCCTGAGACTGTCCGGACCAAAACCATCAAGAACTGCAAAGATCCAGTGTGGAATGAAACATTTTGCTTCAGGATCCAGAGCCAAGTAAAAGTAAGATGCAGAATGTATTTGTTTTTCTTTGGGGGCAGAGATGTCATTGTGTGTCTGATAGGGTACCATAAAAATAGGTATGTGTGAGGGACTACAAGGATATGGATTTGCAGCAGAAAAATTAAATTTGATTTTCTGATGTATCAAAGATAGCCAAGTTATTTCACAACTATTGGTATATTCTTCTATCACTTTCCACTTATTCTTTTTTCTTTTTAAAATTGCTACTTTTCAAGAGTAAAGGTGAGAATTCCAGAATAAATTGAACAGCATAAAATATTTGTATGAGCTAAGTAGTGGGAACATCACAGTGCTGTGCTTTTTCACTATGCTTTTGGAACAGCTTGCAATTAAAAAGGTCACAAAACAACAGTTAAAGAATGCAGGTGAAGACCAGCTGAGCTTTTACCATGATGATAAATGTTAGAGCTTAAGAAGATTTTTAAGTCCCACTATCCACTCCTTCCAGAGGACAGCATCAGCTCCAGAGTTCTAGAAGTCCACAAAGATCAATGACGGATCAAATAAGCCAAGCTTACTTCACATCTGAGGCAATCAAGCTCTGCTTTACAACTTGCACCCTCCATTTCCTAGTGGTGGTGGTAGGGCAGGACAAAACCTTCCTGCCAAGTGCCAAATCAGCTGGTGAGTCCCTTGGCTCTCCTGAGCATTGATAAACTCCTCCAAAAGAACATTTAGAATAGCTCAAGGTGTTGCTGCACCACAGGATCTCCAGCCAGCAGTCCCTCTCGTGTGTATCTGCAGAAGCTGGTAGAAGCTGCAGAAGATGGTACAAGTTCTCAGGCGTTTTTCCACAGAACTAGGTGGTACTGGTTCTGTTTGGTATGGCTTTCAGCTTTAACACATCTGCCCATCTGTGCCCTACACCCACTGCTTTCCCTGCTGACCTATAAAAATTCCAACTTCTTTCAAAATACCAGCAAGGCACAATTTCACTGAGCCCTGCAGGTTTATCAGGGAGGCAAAAGGTAAGGGATAAACATTGCAGCATGGGAACAAACACCCACTAATCTGCAACTCTGGCACCAGAGCACCTGCTCCTTGCAATGGTTTGTGGCTGGTAGGTCTTTCAAAACTGCAATACGACATGTAACAGCTGAAAAAAAATATCTCAGCCACAGGAATCTGCTTGAACTAGTCCTTCATGGAGTAGCGTTTGGGAAGACCTGATGTATACTTTGCAGTAAGTGTGTAGCAGGAGAGAAGACGTGGCATTGGCCCCAGTAATTTTCAGCATGTGTTGGTGGTCACTGTGGCTTCAGCGTGGGCTCCATGAAATGTGTCCTGGGGATTTGGGACAACTGAAGCAGCTCTGACATGTCGGTCACAGCTGCATCGCCGCTGTCTGGGCTCAACAGGCTCAGTTAAGGCTCTCACGGATTTCTCTGCATACGATGCAATTGCTCATTACTCTGTGAGCAGAGCCAGAGCCTGCTGGTCCGCTTGTTTTCTCCTTGCCTGCTTTCATTGAAGTATTAATTTTCCTAGGTTGTGGGAGCTCAGTAAAATCCTACAATACAATGTTGCTGTGGAAGGGGAAAGCCTTGTCTGGGTATGTCAGGCTGGTTCCCATTAGGAACAGGAGTGTTTACTGAAAGGCATCTGTTTTGATGAACATCTGACCGAGCACCGTTGGTGAGGAAGGGCTTCCTGGCCTGGTTGTGGGCAACTCTCCCAGTACATGCCCCTCCTGGCTCACTGGGTGTAACTGAGGGACTTAGATCAATCTGTCAGTCACTGAGAAAACAAGTCAGCCATTTTAACCACGATCTGTTGCAGTATCACATCCTGGAAAACTGATTTGCCTTTGGTGTAAGTCAGCCCTCTACAAACTTCCATCTGTTGTTTTTAAGCGTATCCCCTCCATCACCGTCCATAACTTCTCACGGGCTACTTACAGCTGGCTTGTAAACCAAGTGGCAGCAGCAGCTTTTCCCTGCCTCTTGTCGGTACGTTCCTCTTAGCAAGCGTGGTGGGCAGGAAACCACCCCTTACCCTGTCAGCCCCACACAGAATTGTTTTTGTCTCTGAAGCACGGTGTGATGCACTTATGTCTGTGGCCTTAAAGCTGAGCAGCTTTTTGTTCTTCTGATAGCAAACTGTAAGCTCAAGGTCACTACAGCTTGCCAGCTCTCACTTGCTGGCTTCCTAGAGAGGTGACGTCAAAATTGAATACTTGGATTCTGGATCATATTCCTTTCAATATATTTACATATTCAATCACTAATCATACTTAGTTATGGACCTTCCTGTGATTCGTTATGGGTTTTTAAGGCAACAAAGCTCTTTTTTGTGTTTGTGTGTGAGACCACAGGCCTATCCATGTGTCTTTAATAAACGTGGAACCTCTTAGTGGGGTTCAGTAAAATCTGATGGGTAAGATATCTGAGATAAGAGGTCCCTGTAATCTACATGAAAACGAGCTGCTGAATAAATGGAGAGAGGCATGAATTATTTCCCCACTGAGAAAACCGTTGTTAGCATTTGTTTTCTTAGCACCTCTGAGTCAGTGCATGTGCAGCCACCTACTAGTCATAGCAGGGGCTGTTCCCCCTCCTGTCTATCCACAGGGGCAGGTTACAGAGGAGGTGATTTGTGCAGTAGAAGGAAAGAAGAGGAGACTGAGAGATGTATGATGTAATACAATGGAAATAGGCTTTTGTTCTGCTACTTTCTGTGCATTTTGTCAGCAATTTAATAAAAACATCAGCTTCTGGAGATTGCATGGTATTTATTTCCATGGGATCTGTTAAATAATTTACAGGATACAATTATGCAGTCATGACGTAGTTATGTGGTGCTTCCTTAATCTATTTTAACCACTGCCTATTCTGAGGTTTTATTTTTTTCACCAACAGCAATAAAATGCCGACCACTAGTTGGTTTCCTACAATTCAGGGGAAAGTGGTGACCACAAATCAAGTTAGAGGTCAAATGTGTTTTTCAATATGTGAGCTATATATTAAATATTCTGTTAGTCTTTGTCATTTAAATTACTCTGCAGAGGAAAATGAGCAACAAACCCAGCTATGTTAGGTGTAGAATAACTTTCTTCAGCTCAGTGTAGATGTGAAGGTTGTGCATGCTCTCTCACTTCTCTCTGTCCTTTTTCTGTCCTACCTAATATCCTGAGTATGTCACCTAGTGCCTCTGTAAGGTCTCAAAATAGAGATGTTCCTAATCCTGTACCTCCATTCACAGAATATTCTTGAGCTGAAAGTCTATGATGAAAATGCAATCACTGAAGATGACCTTCTCTTCACTGTTCTCTTTGATGTTGCCAAAATCCAGCTTGGTGAAACTGTTCATTTGACTTTTCAGCTAAATCCAAAGGTGAGATATAAAACTGCCTTGGTCACAGAAAGGAGATATATTTTTGGTATTACCTCCTAAGTAACTTCTTGAAAAGTAATTTTAGGTGGGAGGATTTGTTTCCTATTGGTTTTCACATCACTTATCCTGTAAAATACCTTCCAAATGTTGTTCAGCAAAGCTAACAAGGTTTACCTGCCTACCTTGGACATAGTCCTGAAGGTTTTTACTAGCTCCTCAAACCTCTTAGCAGGCTTTTTCTGACACCAGAGTTCCCTCTTTTCCCCATCTTTCTTAACTCTGTCGCTCAAAGTGGTTTTGTTGGGGATAAAAGATGTCACCCCTATTGCACGAAGATTTTCTGTTAGAATTTCTTTTCCTGGGACCAACCCTTGTGAGTTTGGCCACACTCTGGCAAAGATGTTGGGAGTATTCACTTAAAAACTGATACCCTGCCCTTAATTCTTCTGTGTATACCTTAATATAACACAAAGATTCATGCCGAGGTGCTAAAACCCATTGATAGCCCATTACTAGAGCTATCTCATTACTTCAGTGTGCCTGTATAAATCATGACTCCAGCATGGGATCTGGATGTCTGATTCAGGTATTTTACAGGTTGGCCGTCTCACTGACTTTTCTTATAGGGTGTGTATTGGTATCCAGCGTTACGGTGATGCTGGCCGACAGTCTTAATTAACTGGTTTGGTGACCGGTAATGTATTGTCCATGTTGTAGGAGTCCTTTCAATCAGAAGAACTGAGAATGCCTTCTGCTATCCAAGAGTATCAGTCCTCTCCTAATGTTACCCTGAAAAAACCAAGACTTTAGACAATCTTACACCAACAGTTATTGCAGGCTTAGGATTGGGGAATGCCTATGTGACTATTTCACTCTGCCTCACCATTGAATGGACGAGTGTGGTCAGCCTGGGGAATTATGCTTAGTGAAGGAGGGAGAACTCTTTCCAAAATCACTCTAAGTTGATTGCTTTCACTCATCTTAGCATATGCTAGAGCAGGAGGGAAATTTTATTTTAAGAGCTATTTCAGGAGCCAGAATAATCATTGACAACTATGGCTAGAGAGAAAGAAAATGAAATTAAATGCTTATAAAAATTAATCTCTTACAGACACAAGAGATGCTGGAGGTTGAGTTTGCATCAGAGAGCATGTGAGTAGAACCCCTATGGGACCGAAGAACTGTGCTTTGCAAAAGCAAGCAGTGAAACACATGCTGGCAGTTAGTATAACATAGTTTAAAATGCTCAGCATCACAGCAACAACTGATGTTTATCAAGTTAGCTGCATATTGGCTAAAACGTTGTGTTCCTTATCTACCAAGAATCATCCTGGATAGTAATTTATCCCATTATTTGCTAGAATAGGGAGAAGGAGAAGAAGAACTGCAGTCACTATGCCTCTTACTAATATTGTTTACCATTATCATTAAAAAAAATGAGGAAGATGCATTTCAGAAGTCTCCCGAAATTAAAAATTAATGATATATTTGAGACTATGCTGGACTAGGCAACCTTTAAGGAAAGTACTATTCCTTTGTGTTCATTTAAGGATGTATTTAGGTCATCAGTTCTGATTGCATTATTCTTTTTTCTCTTTCAGTCCCATCCCTTCTGAAAAGCTTGTCACTAACGGTGTATTAGTGGTAATTTTAAACTATTTCTCTTCTGTGCTTATTTTCATGCTTATGATTGGAGTGGTGAAGCTAGCAGTTGCCCCAACACTTGGCTGCAGGCAGGGCTGATGTTGGGGGGAGATCAGGGGTCAGACACCAACAGTTGTTGGGGATACTCGGAGACCTGCCCACCAGCTGATAGCAATCCTCTTGACAAAGCCTGAAGTGCTCTTTCATTGATTTATTCCTTCTGGGACCTCTCTTGGGACCTCCTCATGGCCATCCTTCATCCCCATACGATGAGATGGAAGTTGCTTCCTCGACTGCCCCTAACTCATCTAGATGAGGTAGCTCTTGGCTGAACAGCTTCACCAAGGCAGGGTTGCAAGGACAGCCCTGTGATTTGGCCAGCCCATCAGTATACCCTCGAGGAGGCCTCAGCATACTCCCATTCCCTCTCCGGATATATTCCCTCCCTTCCCAGCCCCGTTCCTGTGGGTGGGCCACAGCGCCAAGGCTGTTTCTCTTTCATCTGAAACCTGGCACATCTTCAGAGGACCAAGGTCTTTCTCTTGTCAGCCTAACAAACACAGGGTGGACAGGTTTACAGACCCCAGGGACCCAAGCGACCAGAGACAGGTAACAGTGAAGTGACTCAGACAGGGCATGTTTTGTGTACTTAATTCTCTCATCCTTCATCCCTCCTGCAGTCTCGTGAAATTGCCTGCTTGCAAGTCCTGGTGGACAGCAGACAGATGAAGAAAGAACCTTCAGGTTAGACTTTGAATTAGAACAAAAAAATCTTGACTGAAAATTTCACATTTCTTTGTCATTTTCTAAGCTGATAATTTTCCTGCTTTGGTCGTGAAATTGGAGCAAGAGAACTGGATGGTTAGGAGTTTATACAGGATCACCGATCCAACAACTATAGTGTTTCTATGCTAACTAACTGTAAAAGCTGGACTTTGAAATGAGAGCGAATGATTAGAATGATGATTAATCTTATTAGTGCTTATTAGAAGTAAATATGTATTTCTGTCTCAATAATTTACATTATTCCCAATTTGCCTGTATGTCTGAGTTTTTAAAACACCTGCTTTATAAGTTTTTAGTTACCTTTATTATTTTTCTTTCTTTCTTCTTTTTTCTTTTCTTTTTGTCTTTTTTTTCTTCTTCCTATAGTGTTTCATGGTTGAATAAGTAGATTCTGAGAGCTTTTAAGCATTGTTAAATATTTTATATATAAAACTAGAAACTTCTGAATGACTGTTCAATGTTGTGTTTCTGAAATCACAGTCATAACTTCTCTGTATGCTTTTAATTTCTTTTCAATTTTTTTTTTTTTTTTTAGAAAAAGACTTCTTGTTTGCAGTGAAGGGATCCTATGAAGAGAGCCAGACCCTGTCACTGGGCTCTTCCTGGAGACTCGCAGAGGCCCTGGACTTCCATTACATTAAATACAGCCTCTCGGAGCTGTATATGGCTCTAGCAGAGAAGCAGCCTCGTTTCTGCTTGGTATGTGATTGTTAGCTTGAGTAAGCACAGTAAAGACATGGAAGAATTTTTTTTTCTCAGTTGAAAGCCATCTTTTCCTGGTCTTACAGAATCATAGAATCGTTAAGGTTAGAAAAGCCCTCTAAGATCATCAAGTCTAACCATCAGCCCAACACCACCATGACCACTAAACCACGTCCTGAAGTGCCACGTCTACACATTTTTTGAACACCTCCAGGGATGGTGACTCCACCACTGCCCTGGGCAGCCTGTTCCAATCTTCTGCTCTGCAAGAGCTCTGTACCCCCTAAGACACACAGATATTCGATGCTATCTTGGAAACTGCTGAGTAGTGGCCCCATTTGAAAGAAGTTAATTGGTGACAGTGCTTGCTGTTTTTGCAGTGTATACATTGAATATTCTTCTGCGTTGTAATTTGTTTTTCAGCGTACCTCAGGTGAAGAGAAAAAAGACTTCCATGCATCCCTCGCTATTCCTCTGGATTCACTTCCCTTCAAGGAGAAAGTAGCAGTGGCAAAGGTGATTGATACTGACTTTTTAGATTGAAAGTGAAGAGTTTAGAGTGAAGCTGTGAGGCAAAGATCGATGGAAGTGAGTTATTTAGATCAGTGTGAAATAGGGCTTTAGTTATATAGCTGGTAGTGCCCTTACATTCCTAACAGAGGATTATGGACTTATACATTTCCATCTGAACCAAGCAGAACTGAAAAACACAGCCAGACATTTGACAGAGGGATTTCTGTGAGCTGCTGGGGAACTAGTACAGATCAGAGCAAACAACAAGGCAAGACTGGCAGAGCTGGTGCTGGGATCTTACTATATGCTGCTCTTCATATCTTTAGTACAAAGCAATTTAAAGAAAACAAAGTGGATTTGAGGAGTTTTAAAATTTGGATATTTTCTCTGTTATGGCTTTATGGCTCTTAGAAAAAGTGTAGGACTTCAAAGTTGCTGAAGGGAAAGGACGTAAAATCATCTCCAGCTATTGCAGTGTGTTGTTTTTTTTCTAGGATGAAACAATCAATTTACAAGTGAAGTCAGATGACTGGTAAGAAACTCTGTCTTTGGGTTTTGTGGTTGTGCACAAAAATGTTGTCCAGCTTTTTTGCATTCTTACCTTTTTCTGTAACTAAAAGAGAAAGTATCTAGTCAATGATTATATTTACCTCATGTTAGTTACCCATGTCCTGAAGGTGAACGTTGTTAATTGTGCTGGTTGAAACTTCCTATTCTGCTTCTATGCAGGAGTTCAGTTTGGATGAGGAGAATAGTCTTTTCTGGCTGTAAAATCCATGATGCTACGAGTTTAGAAAAATATGTGTTTATACCTCACTTTCCTTACTCGTAAAGAATCCAGTGTATTTGTGTTTATAAAATCTGGAGGTCTTCAGGCAACAAAGCCTAAATATTCCTGTGTTTATAGTATGTGTATTTGGATTGCAGTGTTTATGTTGAGCACTTCTTGAAAACCAGCATAACAACAAACAATATTTCTGGTGGTTTTTTCCTGCAAAATTTTACAACTTTTTAACTTTCTCAGCTTCTTTCTCTGCCTTGTCTATATGATTTATGATGTGCTTTTGTGGGGCTGCAATAGCAGCTTTTCTAAGCCTAATAGTAGAGTTTGTGATTTTTAATCATGGGTCCAGACATTAATCGCAAGTGACTGTGCACATCCCTTTTAACCCTGGACTTTATTTGAGGTCAAGAAACTTGGACGTTCGCTTGGAGTTTGATCTGTGCATGGAGGAGAAAAATTTCCTGCAGAAACGAAGGAAGCTTGTGGCTTCTGCTCTGAAGAAAGCACTTCATTTAGAGCAAGACCTACAAGACCATGAGGTATGAGGAGCACCATTAGGGACTGGACCACGCAGTGTAACAGGAATGCTTGTAGCCATGTAAGATTTTTTGGGGGGGAGGGGAGAAATACTTCCACATTTCAGATTTTCCAACAAAACAATGTTTTCTCATTGTCAGGTAAACTCAAATCAAAATACTTTGTTTTGACCTGAAATGCTGGATTTGCATCAGGTCACTGCAGAGTATTTTCTTGATGTGATTGCCTGGAAATGTGTATGGGAAAAGTCATTTGCCTCCTCTTTTCTCAGTGGGTTTCTTGGAGGAATTTGTCTTCCTGTCACACAATTTAGATTTCTATATACTCTAGATACTTTATAGGAAATGTAATCTAGTCATTATACTCAACTGGCAAAAGTGGATGAGCTCTGCTTGTTCTCAGAATAGAGCTTTCGTGGGATGTGTTCTGCTAAGGAAAATGGAATCTAATGCTGAAATGCCTTGAAACATCAAGTTTTGAGCTGTTTTGTTAAGCCAGCATTTAACAATTTGGAACTAAAATAGATTGCTTTTGATCAAAAAATAAAAATTAGCTGATAAATAAATATTTTATTACTATTATTTCTGTGCAAATTACAAGATTTTCATCTTTTTCTCTTCTTCTTGGGGAAATTGTGAAATGTGTGACAGAAATGCCATGTGCTGGTAAACAAAGTTGTTGCTTACCACTGCTGCGTTGATGTTTGATCAGGTACCAGTTGTAGCCGTGATGACAACAGGAGGTGGGACCCGGGCACTGACATCTCTTTTAGGCAACCTCTTGGGTCTCCAGAAGCTGAATCTCTTAGATGCTGTTTCATACATCACTGGGTCATCTGGTTCAACATGGTAAGGAGATCACAAACAGACATCATTTCTCACCTTCCTAGTCAGCTGTGTGAGTGATTTATTCTCTTTGTTTTGGTAAACGATGGTGTACAACTTCAATCTCAAGCTTTTTTTATTGCTGCATTAGGAAGACGTTGTCTGAACCAGAGCCTGGCCTAGGCCCTGCTTACAGGGAAAAATATCTTCCTTGACCCTTTGTTTCATCTCGTGGATCTTTCCTAGGGAGTGACTCTGGTGCAAATCCCAGCCCTGTGCATAAACCTACATAGCACGGAGGTTGCAAGTCCTCAGGTTTCCCTAGTGATTTAGGGGGATGCTTTAAATAAAAAAAATAAAATCTTTTCAATCATGAACTGAGCCCAAAAGATGTTTTTAATAAACCCCAACAGGTTCATTTCATTTGGTCCTTAAACCCAAGTCTAAAAAGTGAAGGCCTCACGAGCATATGACAACATACTTCCTTTCTTTTCTGCAGGACCTTGTCACATTTGTATCAGAGCGCTGACTGGTCACACAAGGATCTGTCTAGACCTATTAGTGAAGTCCGCAGACATATGACCAAGTGCAAGTTAAGCTGCTTTTCCCTGGAGAGCTTCAAGTACTACGACAAGGAGCTAAAACTGCGGAAGCAAGAGGGATACCAGATCTCTAGCGTTGATTTGTGGGGGCTTCTGCTGGAGAAAGCATTAAGTGATGGGGTAGCCTGTCTGTGTTTTTCCTAACAGCCACTGAATACCGATGTGTGGAAAATCAAGCTCCAGGGACAGAAGCTAGCCTCAGAGCTTGCTAGCATTATCCAGGAGATGCCTTCTCTTGACTGACAAAGAGGATTTTTTCCCACATCTCTCTCAACACATAATTAGCAGTCCAAGGGGTGTTCTATAGAGCAGCAAACCTGTGTTTCCTCTCACCAGTGTGTCTATCTGAGCACGCAACAGCAGATTCCTGCTCTTAGTTTCTTTTTACTCTGTTTCTTCCTGTGAGAACTTAAATAATCTGCAAAAAGTGGATGTGTTTACTGGGAAGAACAGAAGGTCATTAACCACAAAGTGTCCTGCAGCTCACCTGTAATTAAATAAGCTTATGTGGATGTGTAAACATTTAGATTACTCCTTGGTTAAAAAAATATCTGGACACAAAGCAAGTGGAGAGAATAAGAAAATGAAGATGAAAACAAGTACTTATTTTGTAATCCTGCAGGCCCATATACCATGCCAAAATTGATTTTGCTCTTTCTCTGTTTCTGGTCAATTCACAGAAAAACAACCACAAACTCTCAGATGAGCGACAGGCGTTGGGTCAGGGTCAGAATCCTCTACCCATCTACATGATCCTCAACATGAAAGAAGACTACAGCCTCTCAGAGTTCAAAGGTGATGGCAAAACTGAGCTGAAACTGTATTTGGTTTGGTGTTCAAAGCATCTGTATTATCAGTTACTGCATGTCCTGCCACTCCTTGCACTGCTGAACAACAGCATTCATAAACAGTTCTTTTTCTTCCTTCCATTTCTAGGCTTTGTGCCAAGGCACTGGGAAGAACCCATCTTGTATGGGGCAGGAGGTATCTAGGGGAGGTGATAGAGGACAGCCAACGTACTTACAGGTCCAAGACTTAGTTCCACACGTTGGGGAACTTGGGTTGACCCCTTTTTAGTGTAAACTTCTCTTATCTCCTACCTGGAGAGGCTCACTGGGAAGTTCTGAGTGAACAAGATCAGGAAATGTTACAGAGTGAGTGGCTGAAACCAGTTGGATGAAAACGCCTTACCCTGAGGAAGGCTGGTGTGAAACCACCCTGCTGATAGGGTTTGTCCTGCAGCTTCTTCTGTGTCATTTCGGAGTCCTTCCTGCAGGGAGACAGTGGAAAGATTGAGATTTAAAAGTCCATTTTTTGCCTCTGCAGAATGGGTAGAGTTCACCCCCTATGAGGTCGGATTCTTAAAATACGGCGCCTTCATTCGTGCAGAGGATTTTGGCAGCGAGTTCTTCATGGGTCGCCTTATGAGGAAGCTCCCCGAGTCCCGGATCTGTTTTATGAAAGGTGATGTTGCTCAACTCTGAAAATCTGAGTTGTATAAAAATGTACTTTATTTTTAATACAGTACAGATCCTACATATTGCAACCCATGCCCTGCCACATGCAGTTCTGAAGCGAAGTGCAGAAAATAGTGTTCTTACCTCTGGCTGAATTCCTTAGATGCTGGAGGAGGGGTAAAAAATACTTAGAGGAAATTTTGAATAACACTATTCATTGTTGCTTTGGTTTTGAGCAATTACTCTTATGCCTGGACTTTCAGTGCTGCATAAGGAGGTTAGGTTTGTTTTGAACCAATCAGCAGCAGAGTTCCACATGGAGAACATTTGTCCTTTGAAATGGAAATCTTAAAACCAAAATTGTCTATGAATGGCATGATTTTATAACAAAAAGCAATGTTGTTACTGTGTTTGTTATAAATATGGCTTTTTGAGTAGTTCTATGAACTGTTACTGATATTTTTGCAAGTTTAATAGTACTTTAAATCCATTCTAATTTTGCTAGCATGAGTTTTATCACTCTTCTTTCAGTGAAGTGGGTAGCTCCCAGTAGTGCGTGAAAGACGGCTTTGCAGGTTTTATGCAATTGTTATTTCAATTTTGCGTAATGCTAGACCTCTCTACCACACCCCTTTGTACTCTGGGTCTCTGGTGTGAAGTTTTCTGCAGAAAGGTCCATCTGCTCTTAAACCCTGAACAGCAACTGCGTTACATGTAAATAAGCACCACACACAAGGGGACACCACAGATAGCCGTAAGAAGGGGTCTACTTATGAACTGCAAAATCCGTACCACCACCAACACTGTGTGTTACTCTTTATTTGGTGTGCACAAAAGTTGTGCACCTTGATGTACGATGTAGGAGTCGTCCAGTGTTGTATTGTTACAGTCATGAGAAAGTAGCTGGACATGAGGAACAGAAGATGATGCTTAGCCAGACAGACACTAAATCTCAGCACTTTAATGGTTATGCTAAGGGTTTTTAGTGGTGTCATAGGTTAAGGAAAGAGATTGCCAAGGGAAAAGACTCAGAAGATAGCACAGGATCCATAAGTATAAATAGATCTGAAAAAGGGATGACAAATTTGTGGAAAGTAGTCCCACTGGTGGCTCTGAAAGACATTAGTTCACACAGAACCACCAGCACTAGAGGTACGAAATCCAGAACCTGGAGGTACTGGAGAGTACACTGGAGAAGAGATCCCTTCATACTTTGCATTTTCTTTTATTCTTCCTTTAAGCAGTGTGTGCTGACCGCCAGAGGTAGGAGGCAGACTACAGAGCTAGGTGGGATTGCAGAGCCTTCTTCTGAGAACTTTGAGCCTCCGTTGCAGTTTCGCAGTGACATCAGTGTGGTGTCTTCATAGCCAAGGTGGCCAGGTAGCAAACACACCCAACGCATCCCCTTTGGGCCAAGCTCTGTGTTCTTGCCATCAGCACCCACACTGGGCTGGTGACCCCACAGCCATAGGTGTATCTTTAGGAAAGATGGAGTGCATAGTTAAAGCAATGTTGCCATCTAGTGATGCAACATGTAATACCCTCCTGGGTTGCAGTTAGAATCTACTGTTAGTTACACCGTAGTTGTTTAAAGATAAAAGTAAGGTGTTAATTGCAGAGTGGTAAGGCCTTGTATAAGAGAGATGGCTAAGCTGGACTGATTGGATGAGCTTATGGGCATATAAGACCCTCAGGTTTCCAGAAGAAAGGCTGGAGTGCATGAAAGTTTGACTGTTATTTTTGACTCCGTCAGCCTAGTAAATGATATTGTCTCTTCTCATAGTTCTTACTTCAGCAAATACCATGAAACTCTAGTGTAAAAGATTAGCAAAACATTGCTATGTAATTACAGCCAAGTTCTCGGGGGTTAACAGTGTTTGGAAGATAGTAAAATGCACGAACAGTGTGCGACTCCAGGGGCTTGGGGAGCCAGAAGAGTTGTGGAGTGAGAAGGCACCGAGTGAAGACAGGAGAGATGAAGGGAGTTGCCTTCTCATGGCAGGCCTGGACAGAACCTTCTCAAGCTGCAGGGAAATGAGGTTATTATGATGGAAACTGGTCAGTAATTATCTGCAAATGAACCCTGGTTGCCAGCTAAGTGTAGAGCCAGAGAAGCCCCCATCTGATTCCTTAATGATGCATTTTTCATGTTTCTCAAGTGAGTCCCATTCTCACAGGGACTTGCTGTGATGCAGAAGACCTTTGGCTTCTTGGCTCACTCCACAAGCAAGCCAGGTTTAAATGGGAATTCCATTTCTGTTACTAATTTATGGAATGCATAATTCTTGTATTGTTCAGTTCAAACTACGGCATCCCCTGTGATCTAGGGCTTTTGCAAAGCTTTCTCTGGTAGAGGTTTTCAAGGCAGAGCTCAGCACTGCCTTTCCTGGCAAAGTTCCTCTCAGTGCTCGCAAGACTGCTGTGGAGGAAGAAATAGTTTTGGACATCCAAGAGGCTTTTGGAGATTTCTGCACTGGAGACACATTTTTAGATGCTCTTTTAAGTGGGAGGGCAAATGACTTTGGGGATGAGTTCAAAAGAACTTGTAGCAAGGGAAATCTTGGCCAGTGAAGTTGTCTTGTCTTAGAGGGCTACTCTGCAGACCATCCCAAACTGTGTTCTAACCATTTGAATTTTGGTTGTTCAGGAGCAGCCTCTAAAGCTTTAGCTGTGTATATGGTTGTACATGACATACTTTGTAGACCAAACCCTTATTTTATAGGAAACCGTGTGGTTTTACTCTCTGATGACAGTTGCTCATAGGACAGAAAATGTTGGTTTGCAGCATATCGGCATTAAGTGACAATGAATTACAGTGGTTGAAAGCCTGGCACCATGTTGAAAACTATTTAGGTTCCTCTTTGAGAACAGAATATGAGCTGTCACTAAAGAGCTTCATGCAGTTTCTGATGAGAGTTTGAAAATCTTGAGGCTTTCTGATAGCCTCTGGAAAGCTGAAAAGTTTGAATTTTTTTTTTTAAAGGGATACTTTCTATAAAAATGTTTTTAAAGCAATTTCTCTGTTCTCTACCATTGCACAGGCCTATGGAGCAATGTCTTTTCCTACAACCTCTTGGATGTCTGCCGTTTGTCGGATCCTACGAAAGGATGCTCACTGAGGTGTACCCAACACAGGGCTGTTGATGTTGGTTGGTTACATTTCTATTTCTACTTTTTTCTGCTTTCTTATGAATCTTTAAATGAGTTTTACATTCAGATGTGTATAGTGTGAAATGTTTGAGAAGGCTGTTTAAGTCTTAAAACTGAGGCCAGTGCTGCACTGCCTTTTACTTTTTTTTTTCTTCCTGAGGAGTCGTGCTGCCAGCGATACCTAATTAGATTTTCCCTCTGAATTCATTCACTGCAACATTGTTCCATTGGTCTCCTTTGAATCAGGTTTATGTGAGGGATGATTTGCCAGAAATATAAAACTACTGAAGTTTTTTTAACAGACCGACTTTGCCAGGGAACTTTCAGTGAACCTACATGTTCTAGCAAACAGTGCTGTGTTCTCTCTCTGCCTTTTTGTATAGTGGTGTTGAATACTTAAATATATCAGTTATGTGGAACTCCATTTCAAATTTCTTTGGTCTTGTTGCAAACGTTTGTTCTCCTGAGAGGTGTTGGTTGTGCTTCCTGTGCTCAAATGTGATTACTGAGTTTGGCTTATGGGCTTTTCATTACTTTCTCCATCAAAGTGTTGCAGAACTCCTAGATCAATAAATGCTTGTAATAGAACGTCATTGGCTCTCTTTCCCAATCTCATGAGGTGCCATTTACCACAACCCTATCTCTCTGCTCTTTTCTAGGTGTCTAAGTCCCCTGACAGCTTTTTATTTTATTTTTTTTTTCAAAGCCAGTTTGGATTGATATTAAAACAAACCGGTCCAGATTCTCAGCTTCCGTTGACCTCCACATAGGGAATCCATGTGTGACTTCTGTCAAGCAGTAGACCACCTTTTCCAGCTTTAGAAAGTTTGTTGCCACTCTTTTATTTTTCATGGAATATCCATTACTGAAGATTGATTTTCTTCTTGTTCCTGCTTTGACATTACTTTGATTGTATGTTGCCGTACCTTATTAGGATCTTCTTTTCTCTATCTAGTAATAGTTGTCTTTTGGTAATTTAAGTATCTGAAATGGGTCAAAACCACAACTTGTTGATCTCCTTTACCCTTCAGAAGGAAATGAGCCTTCCCTACCAGCCAGGAGCCATGGGTTGGAGACTTACTTAGTCACCCCTGAATGTGGCATCATGGGCATCATTCGGCAGATCCTGACCGAGCGGGTGATGGTTTCAAAGTTCTACAACTTCCTGAAGGGGTTCCAGGTGCACAATGAATACCTTCAAAGCAAAAGCTTCTGTATATGGAAAGGTAAATGTCTCTGAATAGTAATTTTTGTTCTGCTTAGATGGTTGGTGTTTTCATCAGTGAAGGCAGAGCATAAATAGGCTTTATTCTTCACTTTGAAAACAAAAATTTCAAGGTAACTAGTTACATGGCATCCATTTAAATCAGCTCCAAGAAGTCCTTTGATTCCAGGGAAGGGCAGCTACTGCTAATTGGAGATGGAAGAAGAGTAGCATGAGAAGTAAGACCTTTTTACCTCAGACTGATCTGTCTTTCCTGTGTCAAGGCTGAGCTTCCATAGTGAAGCAGGGTCTTGGAAAGCACAAGTAATGGGGGAGACAAGAGGCATTTTTCCTCTCTTACTAGCCAAACAACAGATACATTACTTCTTTGGTGAATCACTCATCATAACAACAATTTCCTTTTATAGATACTGTACTAGAGAATTTCCCCAACCAGCTGACAGAAGCAGCAAAGTTCATGTGCCTGGCAGACACAGCAGGATACATCGACATCAGCTACCCACCGCTGATGAGACCGGAGAGGAAAGTGGATATTGTCATACACTTAAACTATTCTTCTGGATCACAGACATCGGTGCGATGACCACTCTATGTTTTCTTCGATAATGACTGATGTCTTTTAGCCCTTTGTAATTCCTAAGGAGTCAGAATAATTTATGTAGAATAAGCTAATTCTAGCGTACAGCTAGTGTTTTGTAGATGCATAGGTCTCTCAGCAGTGCTAGTATGCCATGGCAAATCCACTAAGAACAGAATTAGTATAACTTTTCTGAATATTTTATTTCAATTAATTCTCTGATAGTTAAATGCTATTTTTCTAGACCTCTGTGCTCAAAGGATCTCAACATGGCTATTGAGGCTACACTCTGTATGGAGTGTTTCTCTGAAACTAGTACCACCACTGATGAAGTAATTTCATTTGTTTTGTGATACCTCTTTAAAGGTTTCCACATGCAGTTGAATTAGAAGTCATTTGTAATTTATTTTTGTTCTAAATTGCAGAGACTTGTCCTTTGACCATATGTGCTGTTTCAAATACCAGCCTGGTCTATAATTCCTGTTACTAGATGTGGATAAGACAGAAGTTTTTGAAGACTAAAATTCAGGAGCAAAAATCTTATTTTCAAAAACTACTTGCACACCTGCAAGATTAAATTAACATTTCAGTCAAGGCAATGTTTGCTCCCAGATGCCTGCATCACTTTTCACAACCATCTTAAGGCATCTGAAACAGTTACAGGCTTTTAAATATTTCACGTCAAGTTAACAAAATGTTCATACTTTTGTGAATCTCTATTTAAAAAACATGTTTAAAATCTGATTTTCTCCAGTATGGGGCATGTTTCTGTGTCCTAAGCAGCTAGGCTACCCTTGTCTGCAGCCATGAACATCTTACTTATCTCGGAGAGAAAGGCTGCTGAGGAGGAGGAGGAGGTAGGACAACAATCAGGAGTACAAGTTGGAGGATGTGTATTGAATTGCCCTCCTGTTAATAACCAATGCTTAACATCTCATGTAAGAGACAAAGGCCAGAAGAAACAGTGACACTGAATGTTGCTCCCAGATCTTTGTGAAGGACCTTTGACGAATGTGTTGTTTAGGCATTAGGAAAAGTTGTGGGGCTGGCAGAGTTTCTAACCTTTTCTTTTTCTCTGTATGAACACAGCCTTTGGAAGAAGCCTCGAAGTACTTCCAAAAGCAGGGAATCCCATTTCCCAAAATCCACCTGAGTGATGAAGAAAAGAAAAATCTGAAGGAGTGCTACATCTTTGAAGACACAGAGACCCCAGAGGCGCCAACCGTGGTATTTTTCCCGCTGGTGAATGACACCTTCAGAAAATACAAAGAGCCTGGTAAGCTGTGGGACAGAGATGGTTCTCACACCACCTGGCCACCCTTCAGCTGTGTCAGGATGGGAGACATGGTCTAACGTGGTCCCCTCTCTTTCCTGCTGTGGCTCACATGGGAGAGAAATGTGGGTGTCTGAGTAGTGAGGAGCAACGTGTCCCATCTGGAAAGCAGCACGTGGGACCACATCTATATCCCATCGTGACTTCTCTTTGTTTGCCAGGTGTGGAGCGCAGCCCTGATGAGATGGCGCAGGGCAACGTGGATGTTTCCAGCAGTTTTTCCCCATATTGCTTAAACAGCTTTACCTACACAGAGGAAGAGTTCGACAAGCTGATAGAGCTGACCAGCTACAACATTCAGAACAACAGCCATCTGATCCTTCAGGCTTTGTATTCGGCCATAGAGCAGAAACGACAGCACAAAAAATAAACTCCGTCCTGAGTTTCAGAGAGATACACATATATATATTTTTTTCCCCATATATATATTTTTTTTCCCCTACAGAAGAATCAAGAGCTGTTTGTGAATGAGCACAGTGGACTTGGGAAAGTAAAAAGACTTGTCTCAGCCTGTGGTTCCTCTCTACCACGTGACGATCTTAGATAAACCGATCAAACAAAATAGTGATTAGTCTCGTGCTTAACTTAGGTTGGATTTCACTGCTGGTGAACATTTTTTTTTTTATGTACATGCATGTACATGCAGTAAACCAATGGTGAGGAAATACAGGGTTTATTGAGGAGTTTTTAAATGCATGATCGTAGGACAGCAATACAAATTCTTTCAAAATTTACTACAGCAAGAAAAGTTTTATGTGCAACAGAAAATTAGATAGTAAATGTGGACAGTTTACAAGAAAAAGAGAAAACTATGTTTTCCTTAAACATCAGCAAGAAATTTAGTTAGAAATAACAGCAAAATTAAACATAAAAGATACAGAAAATCTCAGATTTCACATGGAAAATACAAATTTTCTATACTTCTGAATTTATGAGTTTTATTACACCAGCAATGCTTAGGTTTGGAAAATCCCGTGGAAGTGACCATTTGTGAGTCGAGATCGGCTCTTCTGGTGCTTGCATAAGTACCTAACTAGGGGTTGTGCCTTTCACTGAACACTCACCATGTTTGAAGGATCCACATCCCATTAATTTCCACAGGTTTAATAGTATTTATTGTTATTGCAGCATGGGATACTGTGAGAATAGAAACAACAGGAACTGAGAGGAATTCAGATTTTGTGGTGAGAAGGCAAGCTGAGATCTTTACATTGATATCCATGGGTAATTGCATAACTTTGCCAGTCCCTGAGAGTATACGAGCAACACAAGATCTGTGCAACTCCTATAAAAAGCACAGGGCAATTTGTTGAAACTGCTTCTGTTTTAGACGAAGACCAAAATAATTATTCACTTTATGAAATATTTTAATAATGCAAGTACTCTATAAACCTATTTCCTGGCAGCAAAGATACTAATCTAAAAAAAGATACAATGCTTCAGTCAGGATTAGCTGCCCTTAATTACTTGAAGTTGAAACGAAAGTCTGTATTTACGATCTGGATCACTATTCTTTGGTAAGGGTTGGGTGTAGTGCAGTAGCCCCTCTTCTCAACTGATACCAGAACTTGTAAACTTGGGGGAGCTTTCATTACTTAAATAAATCCGATTTAATTACGTGTGTGGATTTTTCTGAGAATGGGAGCACTCCTCGCATTGATTGGCACAGTAAGCAGGGCATCGATGGAGAGAGGGTTACGGTGACACAGTTGCACCCAGGAAAACCCAGGTGTGGAAAGGGTTAAGGGAAACTCCTGGGGCCAAACATGTGCTTATGAGCAAGCAGTTTTCCCTGAGGAACTGGAAAGGGAGATTATCTGTGCAGAGTTAGAAAATTGTGGTTTAAGATCAGAACTGAAGTGAGAAAGGGAGCGGACACGTCTGTTGGAACAGAGAATTGAATTAATGCTGGCACAAACGAAAAGACCCCCCAATGTGGTCCAGATCTGGAAATTAATATTGAGTACCGATCCGGAGACTTGGGATGGAGACATTTGGGGAGATCGTGGTGAAAGCAGCTCAGAGGCAGAAGTGGAGCTCGAGGAAAGAAACGTGTGGCCCCTCATGAAGATGGAGAGCTCCTCCGGACCGTGGGTGCACAGTCTGTACCAGCCCCTGGTCAGGACCCCAGCTCAGGGAGCTGCAGGCGAAATTCTCCCACAGACTGTGAGAAACGGAGATGGAATATCCTTGGCGTGTCTCTTTAAGTGGCAGGGATGGCACACTTGTAAGTGATGATGAAGAAGCTGGTTTCTGGCGTCCGAGAGTTTATCTGACTGATGGGCCAGCGAGGGATCAGTCGGTAACGTCCGGAGTATTGGGCTGGGGGTACTGACCCCAGAGAGAGAGGAGAGCTTGTTATTGTTAAAGCAAAGGAGTTATCCGAGTTAAGTGAGGGAATGCAAAAGGCAGCGTGTGTTCAAGCGATGTATGAAGGAGGACAACAAGGCATCCCGATGGCCGCACCGGTGGCACCCAGTCTCCTTAAGCCCCAGATCAGAGGGTTACCGGACGCCCTAAAACCCCCTGTGAATTCCCTCAGGGAAAGGATTCAGAGCACAACACATGGAACAGGCACGATCGGTGGCCAGGCCATGTGCTCAGCGGGGCGGAGCTGTTCCACCACCTTGTTCCGTAAGTACCTAACCAGGGGTTGTGCCTTTCACTGAACACTCACCATGTTTGAAGGATCCAACTCAGCATCCACATCCCATTAATTTCCACAGGTTTAATAGTATTTATTGTTATTGCAGCATGGGATACTGTGAGAATAAAAACATCAGAAACTGAGAGGAATTCAGATTTTGTGGTGAGAAGGCAAGCTGAGATCTTTACATTGATATCCATGGGTAATTGCATAACTTTGCCAGTCCCTGAGAGTATACGAGCAACACAAGATCTGTGCAACTCCTATAAAAAGCACAGGGCAATTTGTTGAAACTGCTTCTTTTTTAGATGAAGACCAAAATAATTATTCACTTCATGAAATATTTTAATAATGCAAGTACTCTATAAACCTATTTCCTGGCAGCAAAGATACTAATCTAAAAAATGATACAATGCTTCAGTCAGTATCAGCTGCCCTTAATTACTTCAAGTTGAAATGAAAGGCAGTAGCTTGTCTGTGCTGAAGTAGCATGTATTGGCAAACACAGAGCTATGAATAATGAATCGTAACCAAAATAGAAAATAAATCCCTACATCAAAATGAAATATGAACTTCTAAAGTGTTGAAAAATTCTCTTCCGTCTTGCTATCACCTTCTTCCTGCAGGCATTCCTTTATGCCTTGTTTTCCTCGAGCCTTTATCATCTTAATTCTCCCGCCCTCACCTCCGATGACCTCAGCCCCCTTAGGGATGATGCGTCCTTGCCCCAGCTGCTTTCCCAGGCTCTTGCACCTCCATCCAATTTGCAGCCCTGGTTCAAACCTCTGGTGTGCTGAAATAGCTGTTTACTTGCTGGTGCTCATCTGTGATCTCTGCTGCTGAGTCACACCATCCCTTTCGGCATTGCCTCTCCTCTGCCCTGGCTCTAACTCCCTCTCAGGCTTCCCTGTTTATCATTATGGCAAACCCATTTGGGGTGACACACGCGTTTGCTACTTCTCCCGCCTGCCCTTCTTCCATCTGGACTTGTGGGCATCTTCAAGAGCTGTAAGCGGAGTTCCCACTCCTGCCATCCAAGTCCTTTGATGACACCAAATTTCGAGAACCCTGCCTCTCTCTTCCCATCCCTTGATATCCTTTTGCTTCCCTTGGTATCTTTTTGTTTGTTCCTCCCAGTGGTGCTTTCAGTGTGGGTAAAGCTCTTGGACAAGAACTGGATCTTTTTGTCATTTTTCCCTTTGCAACCCTCAAACATCAGTGACTTACTTTCAGATACACCCAGCAGCCACATGAGTCCTGCAGTGAGGTCCCTGCTGTTAACCTAAAAAATACGAAAATGTCGTGTATTGCTGTAGATGCTCAAAAATGTTGGGCTGCCTCCTCCATCCAGCCATCCTTTTCTGGGGACTTTCGGCCAGAGCTGTGTGCCAACCCTATAGATAATGGTCTTGACTCGAGGGGAAGTACACCATCCCCATCGTGCCACAAAGATAGTTTACCCTGATAATTTCTTCTGGGGTATTTTGGAGATGTCACCAGGTGACTGCTCCTTAGCAGTTGCCTGTTCTCCTGACTCCCTTCTAGTCAGCACACCTGGTCCATGTTTAGTAGAGGCATTTCATTTGTGGCTCAGGGGGTTGGTTAATTTGTTGGGCTCGGCCTGCTTTTTATCATTGATTTTATTAATTAATTGTGCAGAACCTGTGCAGGAGATCATCAGTTCTTGCAGGCCATTGTGGAGGTTTTGTGTGGCTTTGTCTTCTGGTGTTTTTTTTT